TTTTGGGGGGGGGCCTGAACTCTGGGCCTGGGCGCTGTCCCTCAGCTCTTCAGCTCAAGGCTAGCACTCTACCACTTGAGCCATAGCACCACTTCCGGCTTTTTTGCTTATGTGGTGCTGGGGAATCGAACCTAGGGCCTTAGGCATGCAAGGCAAGCGCTTTACCACTGAGCCACCTTCCCAGCCATCTGTAAACCTTTTTAAAGCAAGAAGTATCTCTTCCTATACATTGTTGTATCCTCTAGAGGCTAGAACAGTCCTTGTCAGACTCAACTGATGCTTACTTCAATAAACTGTTGGTCTCCTTGGAGTATAACACAACAGTAGAAGATCTCTGAAAGTCCTAGAGTCTGGGATGAAGATGAGGAAGTTTCCTGAAGACTAAAACTTTAAGACAGTAGACTTCAACTGAGCTACATATATCAGTAGGTGATGGGGACCACATGTGGGCAAGTAAAGTGGTAAAGAAACCATGGTCAGGGCTGGGAAGGTGGCTCAGTGGTAGAGTGCTTGCCTCGCATGCATGAGGCCCTGGGTTCCATTCCTCAGCACCACCTAAGCAGAAAGAGCTGGAAGTGGAGTTGTGGCTCAACTGGTAGAGCGCTAGCCTTAAGCTGAAGAGCTGAAGGATAGCACCTAGGCTCAGAGTTCAAGCCCCACAATTGACAAAATCCAAAAAACATGATTTCATGGTTTTAGCTTGTTGAGAGAAAGGAAAATGCTCTCATTACACTGCTTTTTTAATTAAAAATTTAAATTTATTTCCTAATAAACTGGAATTCTATTTTAAAATTTACAATTCAATAGATAAATTAATTTACAATACAAATAGTCTCTCTCTCTTGGGCTGGGAAGGTGGCTCAGTGGTAGAGCGCTCGCCTTGCATGCATTAGGCCCTGGGTTCGATTGCTCAGCACCACATAAGCCGAAAAAAAAAAAAAGCCGGAAGTGGCACTATGGCTCAAGTGGTAGAGCATTAGCCTTGAGCTGAAGAGCTGAGGGACAGCGCCTAGGCCCAGAATTCAGGCCCACAACTGGACCCCATCCCCCCCAAAAAATAGTCTCTCTGACAACCGCCAGGGCAATACTATCTGAATGTCAAAGTGTTTTTTCTTTTTGCCAGTTACTGGGCTTGAACTCAGAGCCTCTAACTCTAATTCAGCTCTTTCAATCATGGTTGGTGCTTGTATTACTTGAGCCACACCTCCACTTATTACTTTTTATACTTGATCTTAGCCGAGAAGCAATAACACTTACTACTTTTTGATGGTTAACTGGAGATAGGAGTGTCTAGGAGTTCCTTGCCTAGGCTGGTTCCAAACCTCAATCTTCAGATCTTAGCCACCTGAGTAGCTAAGAGTAGAGGCATGAACCACCAGTGCCCCAGCTCAAAGGACTTTAGATACCAAACCAGGCACAAAACAAGGTACTTTGGAGCTTGGAAAGTAAACAGTAAATGTCTTATTCTTCTATGAAAGTCATGATTATACTTAATTGAGTAGAAATAGGTAAAACAAAAACACACACACACAGAAAAAACCTTATTCTTTTCTCTTGTTTTCTGAGACAAGATCTAACATTTAGCACAGGCTGGCCTAGAACAGATGAGCCCCTTGCCTCAGCTGGAATTGTAGATATGTGCCACTGTGCCTAGCTCTGAAAAGATTATTTTTTGCTGGTGATGGTGCTAGTCCTGTGGCTTGAACTCACAGTGCGGGAGCTGTCTCTGAGCTGTTTTTGCTCAAGGCTATGATCCTCAGATCAAGGATTTTATAGGAATAAGGCACTGTTACCCAGAAAAAGGTAATTTTATAATCTATAAATTATCCTAATTATTAAAGTTTACTATAATAACTGTATCCATTATACTTTGTGTATGTGTGTGCATACAGACCTGTACTGGGGCATAAACTCAGGGCCTAATGCTCTCACTTGCTTTTTTTCTGCTTAAAGCTGGCACTCTAGCACTTGAGCCAAACCTTTACTTCTGGCTTTCTGAGGGTTAACTGGAGTTGAGTCTGACAGATTTTTCTGCCTGAGCTGGCTTCAAACCATGATCCTCAGATCTTAGCCTCCTGAATAGCTAGAATTATAGGCAAGAGACACCAATGCTCAGCATTTATTTTTATTTTAATAGATCATAACCACAGGACACACACACACACACATGCACACATACCCAAAAGAAAAATCACATCAGGTTCAAGAAACAGAGGAAGGCTGACTCAGACAACCCGAAGTACCTTTTTGAGAAAAGGATGCCCACTCACAGGCTTCATAGACTGAACAGGCTGAACACGGAGTTTCTTCCATTCTTCATTAAGAATCTGAGTTTTTTCTTGCACCTTTGCAAAATTTGCCACATATAGAGCCTAGGAAAGCCAAGGAAAAGACTGCTAGGACTTAAAGATGAGTTTAAAAAAATCCAACCCCCATATGGGTAAATGTCCAGAAATAACAGTTCAGTTGGGAACTTTTTGTGTGTGCTGGTCCTGGTACTTGAACTCAAAGCTTGGACACTATCTCTAAGCTTTTGTGCTCAAGACTAGTGCTCTCCCACTTGAAACACAGTTCCACTTCCAGCTTTGGTGTTTAATTGGAGATAAGAGTCTCAGGAAGGGACTGGGAAGGTGGCTCAGTGGTATAGCGCTTGCCTTGCATGCATGAAGCCCTGGGTTCGATTCCTCAGCACCACATAAGCAAAAAGACAAAAGCCGGAAGTGGTGCTGTGGCTCAAGTAGTAGAGTGCTAGCCTTGAGCTGAAGAGCTGAGGAACAGCGCCCAGGCCCAGAGTTCAGGCCCCACAACCGGACCCAAAAAAAAAAAAAAAAAAAAGAATCTCCATCTGTGATTTCAGTTTGGCAGAAATCCTCAGAACCAGCTTCCTGAATATAGAATAACATGGCAATTCTTAAATTCTCAAATTTAAGAATCAAGGAAAATTACTCTGTAGTTTTATTCTAAGAGATGGCTCATATCTGTAGACCTATATCCTATTCCCAATCAGCAGTGTTTCTATGGATCACCAGGCACATAATGAACAATTGCCTCATTCTGAAAGGACTGACTTCCAAACAATAAATAGTCCTAGTAGGACTCAGCATAAAGGCCCAAATGAAGGACTGCGTCCATGGGCACTGCTGTTATCTTGGTTGCCTTCATAGAGTCTTGCCCTTCAAAGATTCAGAAAGAATGTTTCCATTAGCAATGAGTCCTCAACTTGATTATAAGTGTCTTAGAAGTATTTACTGTTACAAAGAATGTTACAAATAGTAAATAATGTCTCAAAGATGGGACAAAGTATTAAGAAAGTGGAGTCTTGATTAGTGTCATTCAAAAGGAAAGAACCAACACCAATTCAGAAGGACATTTTAAAGAGCACCAAAACTAATTTAAAATGCGTATTTTAAAGTAATTAAATTACAATGTCTTTCCCTATATGTCCAAGCTTTGTTAAATTTTCTGACAATTTCTACTCTAAAAGGAGCTTCAACAATCAACATAAGACAAATGCATAGTTTAAACAACTACCAGTGTTTTCAATACATACCATAAAGTTCTGCTGGAGAGGGGACCAGGAATACATGATGGGAACCAATGCTACAGTATTCAGAGACCTCATCAACATATGCTGGCTTGAAAATCCTGGGAAACCACTCTCTATGGTACACTGAAATGCAAGCAATGACATAGAGAGAAAAAGGCAAACACAACCCAGGAGAAAATTGAAGATTTCTTACAAAAAAAGATCCTCATAAGCAAGCACCAGTGGCTCATACCTATAATTCTAGCTACTCAGGAGGCTGAGATCTGAGGATTATGGTTCAAAGCCAGGAAGGGCAGGAAAAGCCAGAAATGGAGCTGTGGCTCATGTGGTAGAGCACTGGCCTTGAACAAAAAATAAAAAATAGAGACAGCACCTAGGTCCTGAGTTTAAGCCCCAGGACCAGCACAAAAAGAAAAATAAAGATCTCTGTGTTCTACAAATTAAACTGGGGGTTGTTTTTTAAAGTATCATTTCATTTGAGGGTAGGGATTGGAGATGGGGAACAGGGGTGAGGAAGAATGATAGAAGGGGTGACACTGATCAAGAAGCATTGTAAAGCTGGGCGCCGGTGGCTCAGGGCCTGTAATCCTAGCCACTCAGGAGGCTGGAGATCTGAGAATTGTGGTTCAAAGCCAGCCTAGGCAGGAAAGGCCTTGAGACTCTTTTTTTTTTTGGGTCCGGTCGTGGGGCCTGAATGCTGGGCCTGGGTGCTGTCCCTCAGCTCTTCAGCTCAAGGCGCTCTACCACTTGAGCCACAGCGCCACTTCCGGCTTTTTTCTTATGTGGTGCTGAGGAATCGAACCCAAGGCCTCAAGCATGCAAGGCAAGTACTCTACCACTGAGCCACCTTCCCAGCCCCGAGACTCTTATCTCTAATAAATCACCAGCAAACCAGAAGTGGCATTGTGGCTTAAGTGGTAGAGTGCTTGCCTTGAGCTGAAGAACTGAGGGACAGCACCCAGGCCCAGAGTTCAAGCCCCTGACCGACCAAAAAAAAAAAAAAAGCAGCATTTTACTTATTACCTGACTGTAATTGTAATCTCTTTGTGTAACTACTTAATAATAAATCTGCTCATTAGAGGCATCCCTAATCTGTAAACTTTTTTTTTTTGGGGGGGGGCCTGAACTCTGGGCCTGGGCGCTGTCCCTCAGCTCTTCAGCTCAAGGCTAGCACTCTACCACTTGAGCCATAGCACCACTTCCGGCTTTTTTGCTTATGTGGTGCTGGGGAATCGAACCTAGGGCCTTAGGCATGCAAGGCAAGCGCTTTACCACTGAGCCACCTTCCCAGCCATCTGTAAACCTTTTTAAAGCAAGAAGTATCTCTTCCTATACATTGTTGTATCCTCTAGAGGCTAGAACAGTCCTTGTCAGACTCAACTGATGCTTACTTCAATAAACTGTTGGTCTCCTTGGAGTATAACACAACAGTAGAAGATCTCTGAAAGTCCTAGAGTCTGGGATGAAGATGAGGAAGTTTCCTGAAGACTAAAACTTTAAGACAGTAGACTTCAACTGAGCTACATATATCAGTAGGTGATGGGGACCACATGTGGGCAAGTAAAGTGGTAAAGAAACCATGGTCAGGGCTGGGAAGGTGGCTCAGTGGTAGAGTGCTTGCCTCGCATGCATGAGGCCCTGGGTTCCATTCCTCAGCACCACCTAAGCAGAAAGAGCTGGAAGTGGAGTTGTGGCTCAACTGGTAGAGCGCTAGCCTTAAGCTGAAGAGCTGAAGGATAGCACCTAGGCTCAGAGTTCAAGCCCCACAATTGACAAAATCCAAAAAACATGATTTCATGGTTTTAGCTTGTTGAGAGAAAGGAAAATGCTCTCATTACACTGCTTTTTTAATTAAAAATTTAAATTTATTTCCTAATAAACTGGAATTCTATTTTAAAATTTACAATTCAATAGATAAATTAATTTACAATACAAATAGTCTCTCTCTCTTGGGCTGGGAAGGTGGCTCAGTGGTAGAGCGCTCGCCTTGCATGCATTAGGCCCTGGGTTCGATTGCTCAGCACCACATAAGCCGAAAAAAAAAAAAAGCCGGAAGTGGCACTATGGCTCAAGTGGTAGAGCATTAGCCTTGAGCTGAAGAGCTGAGGGACAGCGCCTAGGCCCAGAATTCAGGCCCACAACTGGACCCCATCCCCCCCAAAAAATAGTCTCTCTGACAACCGCCAGGGCAATACTATCTGAATGTCAAAGTGTTTTTTCTTTTTGCCAGTTACTGGGCTTGAACTCAGAGCCTCTAACTCTAATTCAGCTCTTTCAATCATGGTTGGTGCTTGTATTACTTGAGCCACACCTCCACTTATTACTTTTTATACTTGATCTTAGCCGAGAAGCAATAACACTTACTACTTTTTGATGGTTAACTGGAGATAGGAGTGTCTAGGAGTTCCTTGCCTAGGCTGGTTCCAAACCTCAATCTTCAGATCTTAGCCACCTGAGTAGCTAAGAGTAGAGGCATGAACCACCAGTGCCCCAGCTCAAAGGACTTTAGATACCAAACCAGGCACAAAACAAGGTACTTTGGAGCTTGGAAAGTAAACAGTAAATGTCTTATTCTTCTATGAAAGTCATGATTATACTTAATTGAGTAGAAATAGGTAAAACAAAAACACACACACACAGAAAAAACCTTATTCTTTTCTCTTGTTTTCTGAGACAAGATCTAACATTTAGCACAGGCTGGCCTAGAACAGATGAGCCCCTTGCCTCAGCTGGAATTGTAGATATGTGCCACTGTGCCTAGCTCTGAAAAGATTATTTTTTGCTGGTGATGGTGCTAGTCCTGTGGCTTGAACTCACAGTGCGGGAGCTGTCTCTGAGCTGTTTTTGCTCAAGGCTATGATCCTCAGATCAAGGATTTTATAGGAATAAGGCACTGTTACCCAGAAAAAGGTAATTTTATAATCTATAAATTATCCTAATTATTAAAGTTTACTATAATAACTGTATCCATTATACTTTGTGTATGTGTGTGCATACAGACCTGTACTGGGGCATAAACTCAGGGCCTAATGCTCTCACTTGCTTTTTTTCTGCTTAAAGCTGGCACTCTAGCACTTGAGCCAAACCTTTACTTCTGGCTTTCTGAGGGTTAACTGGAGTTGAGTCTGACAGATTTTTCTGCCTGAGCTGGCTTCAAACCATGATCCTCAGATCTTAGCCTCCTGAATAGCTAGAATTATAGGCAAGAGACACCAATGCTCAGCATTTATTTTTATTTTAATAGATCATAACCACAGGACACACACACACACACATGCACACATACCCAAAAGAAAAATCACATCAGGTTCAAGAAACAGAGGAAGGCTGACTCAGACAACCCGAAGTACCTTTTTGAGAAAAGGATGCCCACTCACAGGCTTCATAGACTGAACAGGCTGAACACGGAGTTTCTTCCATTCTTCATTAAGAATCTGAGTTTTTTCTTGCACCTTTGCAAAATTTGCCACATATAGAGCCTAGGAAAGCCAAGGAAAAGACTGCTAGGACTTAAAGATGAGTTTAAAAAAATCCAACCCCCATATGGGTAAATGTCCAGAAATAACAGTTCAGTTGGGAACTTTTTGTGTGTGCTGGTCCTGGTACTTGAACTCAAAGCTTGGACACTATCTCTAAGCTTTTGTGCTCAAGACTAGTGCTCTCCCACTTGAAACACAGTTCCACTTCCAGCTTTGGTGTTTAATTGGAGATAAGAGTCTCAGGAAGGGACTGGGAAGGTGGCTCAGTGGTATAGCGCTTGCCTTGCATGCATGAAGCCCTGGGTTCGATTCCTCAGCACCACATAAGCAAAAAGACAAAAGCCGGAAGTGGTGCTGTGGCTCAAGTAGTAGAGTGCTAGCCTTGAGCTGAAGAGCTGAGGGACAGTACCCAAGCCCAGAGTCAGGCCCCATGACTGGACCCAAAAAAAAAAAACCAAAAAAAATAAAAGATTCTCAGGAAAGCTGGGTGCTGCTGGCTCACGCCTATAATCCTAGCCACTCAGGAGGCTGAGATCTTAGGATCATGGTTCAAAGCCAGCCGATCAGGAAAGTCCATGAGACTCTTATCTCCAATAAACCACTAGAAAACCGGAAGTGGTTCTGTAGCTCAAGTGGTAGAGTGCTGGTTTTGAGCTGAAGAGCACAGGAATAGCGCCCAAGCCTAGAGTTCAAGCCCCACAACTGACCAAAAAAAAAAAAAGTCTCAGGGATTTTCCTGTCCCAGGTGGCTTAAAACCCCAATCTTGAGCATGAGCCACCAGCACCCAGCTTGGAAACTATTTTTACCTTTGCACCCATATTAGCCTGAAGCCGTTTGAGCTGTCGGAGTCTCATATATTCAGATTTCACTTTTCTCTTCCAGTAAGTGATGCATTTCGAAGTTGGGGGATTTGGTATATCCATTTTGTTGTACTCTAAGAACAGAGATGAGACATAGTATTTCATTACCTGGAACGTAAGCATTCCTCAAATTCAAACAAATACGGCAATTATACCTTCATTCTTTTGTGTGTGTGTTTGCATGTGCACCCGTGCACACACACCAGTCCTGGGACTTGAGCTTAGGGCCCAGGTAGTGTCCCTGAGCTTCTTTTGCTCAAGGCTAGCACTCTACCACTTGAGCTATAGCTCCATTTCTGGCTTTTTGGCTGTTAATTGGAGGTAAGAGTCTCACGAACTTTCTTGTCCAGCCTGGCTTTGAACTCCAATTCTCTGATTTTAGCCTCCTGAGTAGGTAGGATTATAGACATGAGCCACCAGCACCCAGAAATCCTTTCATTCTTATTAAATTTATCCATAAAAACACATGTCTTGGGGCTGGGAAGTTGGCTCAGTGGTAGAGCGCTTGCCTTGCATGCTCGAGGCCCTGGGTTCGATTCCTTAGCACCACATAAGCAAAAAGAAAAAAACGGGAAGTGGCGCTGTGGCTCAAGTGGTAAAGCGCTAGCCTTGAGCTGAAGAGCTGAGGGACAGCGCCCAGGCCCAGAGTTCAGGCCCCACGACCGG